GAAAAGTTTTCATTTGATACTTTTTCCCTTTGGTTAATATTTCCCCATGCTAAAAGAAATAAAAAACTGGTTTTTAAGGTTTGGTTTGTTCCTTTTCAGGTCAAAAAAAACCCGTTAAGTTTTTTTTAATTCCCAAAAACCTTTTTTTCTTTTCCCAAAATTTGAAATTTGGGCATAAATTTTAAACCCGCTGATTTTGAAAACCCAAAAAATAAAAATTTTCAAAAACTTGGAAAAAAAATAAAGTCTAATTGTTTTTGAACTTAAAAAAAATAAAAAGCCCCTAAAGTGGTTTGCGCCGATTTTTAAAAGGGTAAGGCCCCAAGGGAAAAAACAGTTTTTTTAATTCGCCAAAAAAAAAATCCCCAACGCATTTGGAAAACCCCCCATTTGAAAATTGGTTTTACACAAAATATGCATATTTCCCGTTTCTTTTTACCCTTAGGCCCTTCTTTTCATTCAATAAAACGCAAAATTTAATTTTTTTCAATTTAAGGGATTTTTTTCTTTTTTTCCAGGAAAAACGAGAAATTTTAATGGCCCCAAAAAACAAATTTTAAACCGGGCCAAAGCCTACCAAAAACCAAATATTTTTCCCAAAAAAATTGGGCCCGGCAAAAAATCAGCAGAAATTGTCCTTTTGGGTAAACGTTGAACACAAACGTTGGCAATTGGTCATAGCCCCCTCTCAAAGGGCATTTTAAAAACCCCAACCAAAAAATTTGGAAAAGGAATCTACCCTTTTTTTTTGTTTTTAAACAAATGTTCCGGGGGTATTTTCCTTTTAAAAGCCCCCTTTTTCAAACTTTTTTAAAAAAAAATGGGGGGAAAAATGCCAGTTCGTTTAAAGGCCGCAAAAAGGGAAAAATAATCAAAAAAAGTGACCTCTTTTTTTTAAAATTTTGAAAAAACCAAACCCTTTAAAAAAAGTGGGGAAAAATTTAAAAACCGGGAAGATTGGGAAAAAAAAATTTTGGGGTTTTTAAAAATGAGTATGCTTTTTCAAACTGAAAAAGGGAAACCCTTATGGCTATGGTTTTTTTTAATTTATTTTTCAAGGGCCGTCTAATCGAATGCCCTTTTTAAAAAAAAACCTTTTTAAATTTTTTCCAACCCAGTAAAGTTTGTAAAAAACTTGTTAATAAATTTTTTATTTTTTATTACCCCTTTTTAAAAAAATTTAGTAATGGCAATTTCCCAAAAAAAGGCCCCCCTGGCCCGGAGTTTATTTTTAAAAGGTTTAAATTTGGGGAAAAGGTTTAACCCCGGGGGAAAATTTAAAAATTTTGGGACTGTTACAAGGGAACAAAATTTTTTCAGTATAAAATCTTTTTCCCCGTTTGGGCTTTTTTTTAAATAAAATGAAAAAAATGGCCCGCCATTTTTTTCTCATTCCCTTCTTATTTTCGACGATAGGGGAATTTACCGAAGTAAACCAAAATTTTTTCTTTGCAACCCCAGATTCATTTCCCCCGTATTAAAAAAATCTTTTTGTTTAAATAGTCAACAGGAAACAATCCGTTTTCAACGGAAGTAATTGTAATGTAAAGAATTTTGTGTCAAACTGGAACATGCAGACAGTTTAAAGCATGTAACATAGGATAATTTAACAATTTTAACCAGTGAAAACGTTACAGAATATAGTTGGTGGACAGACATCTGTAGGATATCATCGTTATTTTCTAAATGCACTTTGTCAAAAACCATTGCGAAGAATATTCTGGATGCAGAAGGATCAGATTTCACAGATCATAACCGTGTAAATGGGTTAGTGTTTTGTATTCAAAATAAAACCTAGCTTATTGTATGTTTATGATTTGTTAGATATCATCTCTTGCTTAAAGATAAAAGAAAAAAGAAATCTTCTCAAGTAGGCCTAAAGTACACTAAAACTTAAAAAGTAAGGACAGTTTTTAGTTATTGTTACTCTTGGTTTATTTTTGTTTCAGTTAGATTTAGTTGACAATTTCAGATCATCACAGTATTTTTGTTCGGGGTAATAAAATAAATAACACATTTTTTTGTGAGTTACAGCAAAAATACCATCCCTCTTAAAAATACTGTTACCCTCGGCTACGCCTCGGATAACAGTATTTTCCTCGGGATGATATTTTTACTGTTACCAACAAACCCATGTGTTATTTATATACTGTCGCTGTATAACACAAAACAACAGTCACCAATGTTTTCAATATGTCGATCTTGAATGATCTACTAGCATTTGCTTTTCGGTAAGTCAGGAAAGTATAGTCTTTAAGATGTGTTGCTGTCATAAAACACGCCAACTCTTTATAGAATGACCAGTTCGAATGTGAACTTGGTAAGGCCATCAGCATAAAGTTCCAATTATATAATGACTACGAATGACGAGCAAAAATGTGATACTTGCACGACATTCAAAACATCATTCGCTTTACAATGAAGGATGAGCTGTAATATTTTGGTTGCACATTAACGTATACATTGTATTAAATGCTATATGGTAGTGAATACAAACAACGGCAATTCTGAAGAAAAAAAAATTAAATAAAATACTTATTTTGTGATTCTTGATTATTGGATACTTGTGTGTTCCACTGCCGTTTGATGAGGTTCTGTTCTGTTCTGTTGTAACATTTGAAAAGTGTCATTAACGTGAAACCTTTACATGCTTTAATGTGAAGATAGTAAAACGATTTAATCATATATATTCTTGTACCCATTTCTGTATATGTTTAGCCCTTTTTCTCTATTATTCACTGTGGAGAAATATTTGATATATAAATTTAAGAAGATAGTGCATTGTTATACGGTAAGTGATGCTGAAGAGGTGTAGGGAAAACCGCAAACGTTCATGTGACTAAGATCATTTGAGAATATTATTGGAAAGAGGTATATTTTGAAGTCGTTTTTGAGGATAAATTTGGTTCTTCGCGTCCTTTAACAATGTTTAGCATGCATATCATTCTCACATTCTTTCTCAAGTTATCAAAGTATTTTCTTTTCGGCTATTCCTTTAAATGTAAGTTTATGGAAAATTAATTCAGTTGTCCTGTGACATATCCAAGAATTGTCTGACAAAAACAAATAAACTTTAATTGGAATTACACACCTCCTCTATTGTTTGTGACAGGTCTATACGTTTCAGATAGACCTGTTTAAACAAAAGAAAGTCCGTTATGAGGTATATATTTTGCACGTGCACAGGTCTGTTCTAGTCGGACAGACCCGGTCATGAAAAACACGTGGAAAAAAAGACCTGCCTATGCGCAGAAAAGGAAAACATGAAATGTTCATGAAAATAAATGTATATGATTGTCTAAATATTCCTGTGTTACAAAATCTGGATACATTTTTTAAACAAGATAATGTTTATTGAATGCACTTAGCAATTATCCCAACATTCCTTTATTAAATCAATGGATAGCATTTCAAAAGTTAGGACACATTTAACATTTATTAAATCGCGTCTTTTTTCCAAAGTAGAATATAACAAATATATGGACGCTTAAAGTTCATTTCTATGAAACTATAACAGTTGTCACAGCATACTTATTACAATTTAAATCACCTAATCCATAACATCTTAAACGTTCTAGAAAATTCATAGTATATACAAATTGTACCAAACAGTCATGTCGAAAACTTTAACAAAAATATGTCCGTTTCAAACGCATTTGTGATTTGCCTAGGAAACTGCAGCTACCCACAGTTAATAGTCAAGTCCCTGGTAACATTCCCACCCGCGGAATCAATAGGATTGTTAAATCCCCGTTCATCTCGCCCCTCTCTCTTTGAGTGCTTTATCCTGTCGTACTATTCAACCGGTGAAAAATCAAAACTGATTTCCCTTGAAAACCTTCGCATCCAGGGTTTAGTTTCAAAGAATGCTACACAACAACGTTAAAGATATAATCAAAGACTTGCTTATAGTGACATGCATATAAAAGTACTTAAAGTGGATTGGTCTACAAAGGGCACATCTCCCATTAGTATTTCAAATACCGATAGAAACGATAGAAATGTATTATTCGGATTCTTTTTTTAAAAAAAAAAGTCTTTAAAAAAAAGAAATGTTAGTAAAGTTATAAGTGATTTAACATAACCATATATATGATGAGCGATCATATGTTATTGTAGAACACGTTATAATATCTGCTATATGAAATACTATTTCGGATCATGTATCTTACACTTGCCAACAATATTCAATGTACATATGTAAGTCTTTCGTGGTCTGCTGGGTATCCGGAGATATGCCCCTCAGACAGCTGCTTCTCGGAAGTTTGCCACCTTTTTGCAGTGGGGGACATTTACCCCTTATATCTTTGTAAGGTGCGGACATTTGCCGCTCTCCCCTCTCCCCTGTTTTTAAAATGTTAAAATATTTAATTGTTGAATTGTTTGTTACAAAAATGCATCGCCTTTTGTCGAAATTCCATTGTGTTTGAATAATTAAAAACTAACGCGCAACTTTGTACACACAAAATAGCATCCATAAATTAATAAAATTAAAAAAAAAGCTTGCCTGTTTATGCGCTGCGTTAAAAAAATCTTTGTGCATTACATCAAATGTTTCGGATCAGCCATTGCTGAAGCCAATTGTTTGACGGTGTGTAAGTTGGATATCGGCCTCGTACATCGATCTTTCTGTTTAGGAAAGACCTGGTCACGAATTTCATGAAACACCTCGAGCGCTACGCGCTCTCGGTGTCACATGAAATTCGTGACCAGGTCTTTCCTAAACAGAAAGACCTCGTACTCGGTCGATATCCTATACGTACTTAAGATTTCATAAGACACATTTTCAAATGTTTCCCATTGTAAAATGTTATTCTCATATAAATTTCAAACATTATCCAATCTAAGTCACTCATAATATCTTAAATTTGACATGATTATCTGAGAACTGGGATTCACGTCATATGTAATTTCCGTTTAGATGTGTCATGCCTGATAAACTCAGTACATATCATACGCCACTTAGAGATAATTTTTATAATAACTCTAATCTTTGTATCATCTATAAACTTTAATAGTTAATAGTTCGCCTTGTTGCAAATAAACGATTGAAAATGATTTATTTCTGTAAAGTTGTAATATTTCTATTTGTTGCTTGTGTTCGCGGTGATCAGGGAGACACAGTTGATGCGAGATTTCAAAAGCTGGAACAAGAAATCGTCAAGTTACAGAACACAGTGGTTGATTTACAGAGACAGGTTGATGAACAAAATGATGGTATGTATTGCTAACCTTTAACCTGTAAAAATTTGAGGAATGAATTTATCATGGTTTACTTTTTGAATTATCCATTTGAAAATTAAGAAACTGCAATATCAAAATCAAGATCATTAACTTACCAACAGTATAGATGTGTAGCAGTATAGATTTGATTGAGCGGACTGGCTTATATCTATACTGGTACAAAAGGCTACACACGGTCGGTTCCAGCAGGTATAGGGTTAATGCCGATCAAATATTCTTTTATCTGTGAAATATGCTTTAAGTTAGCTTAAAATGGTTAATTGTGAAATGTATACTAGAATAAAGGAAATGAAGAAAAGAGAAAGAGAAAAAAACAAATAATAAGCACAACAACAATTATTGTATCGGGAATTATTGGGTTGTAAGCAATGTATTTCTACATGTTTTTGATACTTTTTGTTATGAGATGACTTTTTTAAATGACTTAATGTGAACTAAAGATATGAATTGTAAAAATGGTAATGGTAGATAAAAACTGCACGAGCTAGCAGAAAACATAATCTTAATACCAGTAAAGAGTAAAGAAAATTTGGATTTTCAGTTGTTAATGGATTATGAATGTTTGGTGATAGATTTTCTTTTCAGTAATTTTTGCCTTTTTCAGGTAATGAGTATATGTCGGTGGCGTTTACAGCAGGCCTTTCAAGAACCATAACAAACATGGGCTCACATCAGCAGATTGTTTTCGACCACGTGATCACAAACGTTGGCAACGGCTATAGTCCGTCTCACGGTCATTTTACGGCACCAATAAAAGGAGTCTATGTGTTTTTCGTAGTTATAACAAATACCCCAGGATATTCCTCCAGTGTGACGCTTTTAAGAAATGGAGGATGGATTGGGTATGCGTTAGCTCATGGAGGAAGTCAAAACAACAATCTGTATGTAACGTCAACAATAGCCGTAACAATTGAATTACAGCAGGGGGATGAAGTCTGGGTTCAAAATGAGTATGCCTTTACATCAGTCGAAGAGCTTTATGGTGGCAATTGGTCTACTTTTTCAGGACATCTTTATTGATACCATGTAAAAATTTAAGATATTGTTTGCATACTCTTTTCCTATAATAAAAAGTCTTGTATACATGTTTTTCTACATTAAAAAATCACATTTAGTCTAATCTTATTTTCCCTTTACCCCATTCAGTATTTGCATTTACATGGCTGGTTCTTGTACAATTTTATGAGGATAACATTTGCCATCAGATCGGCATTTACAATTCAGCATAATATACTTTCAAAATGTCCACCTGAACTGGTCTGCTAGCAAGATATTCAGCTCGACATAAGTACTTTATACCGGAAACACACGTTAAAATTGACTTACTCTGCAATCAATTCATAATTGAAAAAGTGCCCCCCTTAAGCATTTTGAGTTCAATTTTTGGTTTTGGCCAGGTCACTTTAAATGATTTCTGAGATTGTGTGTCTTTTTGTCATATTATATAAAAACATAGGTAAATTTCAATTTTTTCTGCAATCAATCCATTATTAAAAGTGTTATTACGTATTTTGGGTGAAATTATCGATTTCCACAGAATAACTGGAGTTTATTGAGAATAACTTTAAGGAGCTTAGTGAATACATACTTGATATGTAAATATATTATATCCAATTTTATGTTAAGTTTATTTTTATTGCAATCAGCACTTTATAGGAATTAACCCCTTTTAAGCAATTGTTGCATTATTGGTTTCTGCAGAATCGTTTTTGAAGGATTTAAAGTATTCTGTTTATATTTGGCTCGCAAGCATGCTGTATCAAAACACAAGTTTTATAAGATTTGATTGAAATACTGGGAGCGTGGTGTCCGCATTTTATTGGTTTCTACATAATAATTTCAAGGGAGTTCACTGTATTTTGAATGCAAGTATATAATATCAAAACAGAATTGAGGTTTGATTTAATTTGTAATCAACTAATCGCAACGTTGATTTAATTGATTTTTAATCAAATTGAAATCAAGTAATAATTTTTTATACTTTACTATAATTGGTTAACTTATTACCTAAAACAAGAAACTGTATCCTTTTTTTCACATTTGATGGAAAAGTCATGATATAAGCCATTAACAATAATAAAAAATCTGGAAACAAAGTGATGCCTCGGAAGCATTAATCACAACAAAATTACATGAAAATTGCAGACTTGGTTTGATTGAGTCTGCCACATGAGGGATAATGAATAAGAGCAACATCCCTCACGCCGGCTTGAGAACGTACTCAGTTCTCAACACTTAATAAAGCTAGCATCGATGATCCCGAAGGACAAGAAAAATATAACGACACTGAAGAAATAAATTTGTCTTTAACATGATATCTTCCCGAAAATTTGCCATCATACGAATATTGCCCTGCCTCAGCCACGCGGCATTTTATAATTTGCGTGGACCAAAAAGCCAATACATTAAATATTATTTTCTTCCATAACTTTTATATATTTCTTTATTGTTTTGCAGAAAATGTGAAGAACCTTCTCATTCTTGTGAGTTATATATACACAGAATGTTTTAGGGGAAAATCAGTATTTAACGTCAGGTAAAACGGCGTTATTGAAAAGTCAAATATTCACAATGCTTTACTTTACGAAAAATATGTTCACCCTAAAACGTTCTTTTCATGGGTTCCTTGCCAGATTTAAACTTTATCCAATAAATACTAATGAAATATTAAAGACAATTATGGCAGAATGTAAAACCTGGGCCGTTAATTGTATCGATTATCTGCCCCCACCAAGATCATAATTCCTTTTAATAACCTTTATGTAGTGCGACAGAGGCTTCATGTTGACAAGAAATATGCTTTATTACTAATATATGTTCATTCAATTTGACTATTCATGTCATGGAAAATAAAAATGAGAACATGTCGTCTTCCTTTACCAGGAAAGCTGGAACATCAACATATGAACTAAACTGTGTCGGGTGTGACTGAAACCCAATCAAACAAACAAACTAACTTTAAAATGAGGTTATAAGATGTCCTGAGAATGATGACTGTTTGTAGCCAGCCACCTCCTCATGTGCTAAATATGTATATTCATTTTGCACCCAAACTTCATCACCATACTGTAACTCAACAGGGATCGCGCTCGTTGACGTGACCAGTAACCCCTTATCAGTAATGCTTCCATAGGCAGCTACCTTGCCAATCCATAAACCATTTCTCAAAACAATAACTGTAACAGATTTGCCAGCAACATTTGACAGCATCACAAAGAAAACGTAAACCCCATCGACAGGCGCAATGAAATGACCGCTGAATTTGTTGTAGGCATTTCCGACGTTTGTGATAACTTTGTCGAAGACTACATGTTGAGTTGACTGCAGATTTGTTATTGGTTCCGATAAGTAGGCTAAAAATGCTACCGACTCATTTTGTGACACTGCAAAATTAAGAGAATAAGTACTAAAATACTCATAAAATAAACATTGTGGTCTTGAATTTAATAATGTTTTATATCACTTATGAATGCCACATCATAATAAATGCACGATAAAATCGATAGATTTTAAATGCGGCACGGGTTTTATTTCTTTTTCATTTTCATGAGTATAATATAATGGGGTCAATGCGGTAATGAATGTATAAATGTATAAATAAATAATATTGAATGCGTGTAGATTTAATATTGAATTTATCGAACGAGTTGACAAAATCATATTATGCGAGCCTCTGGCGCTCATTATTTTACTGTTTTTTTTTCTAACTTATATTAGTCATTAATGTTAAGTTACAATTGTACCGATCATAAATCTATTGGATACACTCATTCAAGATCCTGTATGTTGTAATTAGTGTTGTTACCACACTTAAGTGAAATTTTATATATGTATTTAATTATGTTTCTAAAACAATTTTCAAACATCGAAGATATGAACTGCAAATTTTTGTAATCATTAAAATATATGCATTCATTTCTTATTGAAAAAATTGACTTAGACCTTACAGAAAATAAATTTCTAATTACCTAAGGGTTATTAACTTAAAATGTAAATTCGGTTATATCTTTACAAATAATGTTTTTTGGAACATAAAATAAAGATAAATCTTCATTTGAGAGGTATATGTATGATACAAAACTATAACAATATTGTATTACCGGGCCTTTAATTATCTTGTGATAAAAGAAAAATATTTTGATTCACCATTTTGGATATTAACTTGTTTCTGTAGCGATGCAACTGTTTCTTTTAACTTGTCCACTTCGTGTGTCAATATCCTTAACTTTGTTTCTACAGCACTTTCTTGTACATTAACAAACGCGTTCGAAATAATAAAAAGACATACGAACACGACATTTTTTAACGATATCATTTTTATAAGTGATGTCGAATTGGCTTCAAATTATCATAATGATGCAAATATGCGGAAACATGAGTGAGACGAAATAAATCGGTAGCCTAGGAACTGTGGCATACAGTCTTAAGTATAAAGAGAGGCAGAGTAACTTCATTTTATGATAAGATAATTCAATTATTTATTTGATATAAAGTTTATCTAATTTAAACCGTTTAACCTGCATAGTAACATATTGTTTCTTACAATTTTCTTATAGTAATGCAAGTCACATTCAATCTGATACAACACATAACATTGAAACAATGAAATTTATTTTTATAACGCTTAAAATCATTTGACTAACGTTTTATTTTACATACGTTTGAAGGGGCATGTTGAGGTAAAAGCAATATTGAAGACTGAATTTTGGTTGGGGTTAACGGGGCACCAAGACTAAAAGGCAATATTTCGATTTTTCAACTTAATTGGTTAAAGGAAACCTCAGTTCCACCCCCTGCATTATACGGACACCTGATTAGAACTCTCGACGCTCCGTAAGGTACTTGTAGCTGGATAACTTCCTCACATAATAGAATCCAAAGTCTTTAACGTGATTCAAACCCACATAGTTAAGGGGCAATTAACGGAAAATAACAGTAAATTTCATAGAAAACTATAAATACCAACATTTGTATTTAGTGCGTTATATGTTGGATAACTATGGTTGCACACATGTGACATGTGTGTGTTTTATTTATCTCGTGCGCACGAGTTACTAAGTCGTGGCCACGAGATAGTTAAGTCGTGAGAACGAGATACTATGTCGGGGCTATGAGATACTATGTCGTGGCTACGAGTTATTAAGTCGTGGGCACGGGATAATTAAGTCGTCGGAACGAGATACTATGTCGTGGCCACACGTTACTAAGTCATGGCCACGACATAGTATCTCGTTCCCACGACTTGATTATCTCGTAGCCACGACTTAGTAACTAGTGGCCACGACATAGTATCTCTTCCAATGACCTAACTATCTCGTAGCCATGACTTAGTATCTCGTGGCCACGACCTTATATCTCGTGGCAAACTCGTGGCTACGACATAGTATCTCGTTCCTACGACTTAACTATCTCGTGGCCACGACTTAGTAACTCGTGGCCACGACATAGTTTCTCGTGCGCACGAGATAAATAAACACACACACATACATGTCACATTTGTTCCACCTTAGATAACGCAATAATAATAATAAAATAAGTTGAAATCATTATTATCAAAATTAATAATAGTTTTCAGTCCGATACATACGCTGCCAGAGGTAGCGGAGGGTGAATAAAGATATGATTTAAATTATATTCGGATAAAATGAATGCCGAAGAACGGCGATGATAAACTTACATTACGATGAATATTAGAGTTTTGTTTGTTTTTTTCATGCTGGGTCGACACTATAATGATCATTCTTCTGACGAAGTTCCAGGTTTACTGGTGAAGAAAAGGCGCTTGCATAATTTTAGACACGACCGAAAGATTTTTTTCGTAAATAATAAAAATAGACATTTGAAATAGTATTACTGACCTGCATTTTTGATTGGTTATTACAAATAACAAATAACGAAATGTCTTGTATATGTGGTGTATAGTTAGATGATTAGCGATGACCAAAAACAGTTACACAAACCAATTCATAATAAAAAATGATTTATGAACGTCTTAATTACCATTCGCAGCGTTAAAAAAATGGTAAGTGCAAAGCTTTCAGATTGCCAAAACTATTTTTCGTACTGCTATTCTTGGCAATTAATACTAAAATATTTTATAGACACTCTCTCTATCTGTCCATTTAGTGCATCAATTGTTATCATATTATCTTCATTCTTGCACTGGCTACTACTTCTCAAGAAAGTATTTATGATTTATGCCGCTCTTCGTTTAATCTGACCATTTTGTTCCTAGAACTGTGCCTCATTTGTTATTATGTAGTTTTCATTCTTTGTTACAGCTGATACTGATTGTGTTGCTTGCATTGCAGTGTTTAAAACGTTTATCACATACCCGTGTCGTTTTTGAGACTCCTTCAAAAAGATATGGCACGGCCGTGCATATATTTTGTCGAGTTGTTACTTGCGTTATACAAATGTAGCTTTAAGACGCGATAAATGTTACACAATAAGCGTATTCATATTACTATAAACAGTTTTTTGATTTTATTTATCTGATAAAAAGAATATTATTACTTCGCGAGTTTGTAGTTGCTGTCTTATAATTAAGCTCTGTAGCAAAATTGACAGTTAAGGCAACCAATACCAGAATAGTAATAGGAACTCAATACCGTGACGATATCACTATAGTATTTATAATTTTATTAGTTTCGTATCTGTTATGTTTAGGAACTGTCAACGACTTGCGAACAACAGTAAAATTGTTTGAGAAACATATAAACAAATTTCAAATATCCCATTTGAAATAACGACGATTTAATTAAAATTACAAGCATTTCTACAGAAGTTAACATAAAGTACATGTACAATCATACATAATATTCCAAATATATTATTCAACTGTTTTAAGAAATTGACATCTTTCCTTTCCTTCTACAATCAAATACTATAAAATTACATGTAAAATATTACGTTTATATATCAAATTACAAACTGAAAATGTTATTTTTTAAAGTGTGTACTTGTAGTACTTGTGTATAACTTTACATTTTCCTTCATTAAAATACGTTTTAGTGTAATGAATAACTACATAAGAATGATTTAGTGCGCTCCCGGGATTCAATTTAATCCTAAAATAACAAATGTTAAAGTCCTAAATAGTCCAATATTTAGGCGTGTTAAATAAATGTTGAATTCCACAGTTATCAATTTGACAATTTACGCAGCTGATTCATTTATCGATGGTTTACATAAATTTGTTACCTATAAATATTTTCGTCACATATTTTACGTTAGCATAAACATATTTAAACAAACAGCATGCTTGTCTGACATACTTTGGCCAAAATTATTGATATAAACGCCATGTGCATGGTGTCTTTAAAAAAATTATACCTCACCAATACCCATTTGTTATCCTTTTCTATAATGTCTATAAATTATATAATAAATAATACTTATTACATGCATTACAAATGATTGTTGGCATGCATTACGTATACAGTTATTTCCTACACAAAAACAAGTTTCTATGAAACATTCTTTTTTGTACTTATTGTCTAAAAGACAGTTTTGAACCTACTGAGTGTTATAATTATTATTGTAAATCTCTTAATGACACCCTTACTGTCCACGCAAGAATATTTATGCACATTCACATGTATACATGTAAGCATGTCTTTAACACTTATATACTTTTAAGAAATGTTTACGTTTGTTTCCAAAACTTCCACTGCTGATGTAAAGATGTTGATCGTTAGCATTCAAATGCATTGCTTGTGGGCCTGTTACTCCATCTCCTGGTCCTAGTAACACAATAGCCTCACTCAGGTCTGACCTCATTTTGTAAACAATGTCCTGATGCCTGTTACAGACGTAGACTGACCCAGATGGAACAATGATAATACGTTAATACCATACGGGCATTCTAACTCACCGTGATACAAGTTCAATAGATTACCATTCATATCAATGGACAAGACTTTGTCCAACTCCCCATCAGACACGTATATTGCAGTCTCGTCAGTATTCACAGCGAAATTATGAGGAAAAAAACAACGTTTTCTTACTTCATCATCCGGTTTGATCGTCTTGATTATTGAACCTGTCGGCTGGAGTTTCTGAAACTTAACAGGCTTCCAAAATGACACATACAGATATTTGTTCACCATCCTCACCCTTGCCGTGATGCCGTTGGTTTTAATTGTGCGGTCTATAACCAGTGTTTCTCGTATGTCTAAAGTCTGTATCAGATAACAGTCTTTTAATACAACAGCTATCTGGTCATTCGACATCGCTGTTACTGCAAGTGGCTTAGATTGTAATGGTAGAACGTCTTTAATTCTGTCTTTTGAGATATCCACGAGTTTCAAGCATTTATTGAAAGCATCAAATAGGACAAGCTCGTTATCTGAGACTAACGCCATGTCTATGATAAGACATTCCTCTTTTTTGTCATTATGTGATGCAACGTTGATGTCGCGGACGTAAGTAAACTCTTCATTTGTGGTTTCTTCACCGGTCATTTCGTCTCCGATATTTATCTTAGAAACTGAAGCGGTTCCATCACGACGGATTCCTTCATTTGCTGCTTTGTTCATTTTTATAACGTGGTGCTTAGTTATTTCATCTCTAGAGTGGCACTTGCAACATTCATCGCAAAGATAACAGCAACAATCTTCACAGTATCCAGCTGGTTTTACTTCTGCTCCAACTATTTTACACGGAGTACAGAATGTAGGGGATTTTCTCGGTGACATGCCATCTTTTCCAACCTTAGCGTGATTCTTTGATGAATTTCTACTTAAATGACTCTCAAAGCACATGCTGCAAAGATATATTTTGCAACCTGAACAGAACCACTCAGCCATGGCATCATCTCCGACACTTTTACAAGGATCACACTTGTGGTATTCTTCTGGACTTTTGTAACCTGATGCTACTGATTTCTTGTCACTTAGTATGTATTCCTCAGAACTGACATACACTGATGCATCAGAGCTTTTTGTTCGTGTTCCCTCTGGTTTCTTGTCACGTTGTTTGTCTTCCTCAGAGCTGACATACACTGAGGCATCAGAGCTTTTTGTTCGTGTTCCCTCTGGTTTCTTGTCACGTTGTTTGTCTTCCTCAAAGCTGACATACACTGAGGCATCAGAGCTTTTTGTTCGTGTTCCCTCTGGTTTCTTGTCACGTTGTTTGTCTTCCTCAGAACTGACATACACTGAGGCATCAGAGCTTTTTGTTCGCGTTCCCTCTGATTTCTTATCAAGTTGTTTGTCTGCCTTAGAGCTGACATACACTGATGCATCAGAGCTTTTTGTTCGCATTCCCTCTGATTTCTTGTCACATTGTTTGTCACCCTCAGAGATGACAGGAACAGATGTATCAGAGCATCCCTGTATTTTCACCTTTCCCTGTGGTGTAGGTTTTATTATTACGTCTTTTCCTTTTCGTCGTCCACTTACATTGTCAGCCATATTAACAAAGTTCAAATTCCAGAAATAAATTAATGCACAATAGCTAACGGTTCTACTTTTATATTTTTTTAGTTTTGTCTTTCATGAAAATATAATGAGTTTAAAAAGATTATTATATTTTCTGATTTTTACATTAATTCACAGAATAAATCGTCCTATGTAAATGTCGCCCTTATCTTACTGTTTCCCTTAAACAAGGTACGTAGCTATAGAAATTATCAAACACTTGCAGGTAAAACAAATACCCTCATCGACTGTTTATATCGATTAAAACCACAATACCCATTATAACGAAGTGATTGATGAGCTTTTTTTTATTATAATCTGTCTTTCAATACAATCTTTTAATACAACAGCTATCTTGTCACAAGATATCGTTGATAATACATGTGGTTTTGATTATTTTCTATATTTATATTATTCTTTGAAAATTGTATATATAGATTTTTCTTTTTTTATTTTATCTTTCTTACTTGAGAAAAGTTTGGCCTTAAAGGGTACACATGCATTAATTTGATCAAAGCCATGAGCAGCATTATTGAAAGCATTTGACATGTAGAAAAAATAACACAAACCCGAATGATTTTGTTCAAGGTTATATTCATCTGCATGAAAAACAGTTGTTTACACAGTGTAATTCTTTGAAAGTGTTACGCCGGATATATCATTTAGAATATACCCTTTTTCAAAACTGCATGTCTGTATATGCAATTATACATCTTGCTTTGACTTAGTTTAAGTGACCTTTATGGCACGGTGACCTTTATTAACTAAATAAGCAAGGACTGGTTTTACAAACCTTTGGCGGACCAAAGAATCATTTGCCCAGAACACACCTAAACACCAGTAAGCAGACGGACACAACTGGTAACATGATTTTAAATTGAGGAAACCGAAACTATTTAAATATACTAAATTGAAAATTGTAATTTCAGATAGAAATTATAAATAAATTTTTTTAAGTGGCATAAAAATTCTTATGTCCAAAATAAATAAATAAAAAAAAACTTTGGTCATTATGCTTCACAATAGACTTCTGACAAAACGGACAAAATTCAACCAAAAGCAGTAAACACTATAAGAAAATTCTAAACGAAACTAATAAAAAATATATGTGACTGAATAGCTAAAGAATTAAGAGTAAAAAGCTATTAGTAAAGACGAAAACAAACGTTTAAGCTGAACCAGATGACCGATATACAAATGTAGTAAAAGAATTTTATACGGCAATTTGCCTTCAATTTTAATCTTATTTTGTTAGACATATGATCTGCTTTGTTTTATAATATACATTCTGGGTAATAAAGTCGGTTTTATAAGTTTTAACATAAATAGAAACTCACAAATGAAAAAAAGCCGGCTGAAGAGAGATCTGAAAGTCAAAGAAAATATGGATATAATATTTGAATGAAATTATCACTATGTAGACATAGAATAAGATGTTGGTGATTTTAAAAGTTTCACGCTTAAATGCTGCGAAGTCCACCATTTTCCTCAGACAAGCTACTTGTATTAGACAATGGTGCAGAAATAATATGGATTTCAATTATTTAATTTTTCTGACAATTTAAAGCTGTTTAATCGGTATATTAATTAAGTAACCAAATATACTGACATATTGACAGATCAAGTAAGTTGGTTTATTATACAAAAGTAAAAAAAATGTGTACATATGGAAATAATAAGTTTTGTAGCAGTTACGAAACATTTAACCTGGCTTTACATTTTCATTATCCCTCATGTACAGACTCAATCAAACCGAGTCTGCAGTTCTCCTGAATTTTGTTGTGATTAATTCTTCCGAGGGATCACTTTGTTTCCAGATTTTTATACTTCACAACAGCAGGTGTCAAGTGCTGTGTGGCAGCTGTAAAAAGTTGCCCCGTACTTCACTTCAGTGTTGTTATATTTTTCTGGTCCTTCGGGATCATTGATGCCAGCACTATTAAGTGTTGAGAATTGAGTACCGCTCAAGCCGGTGCTAGGGGGCGTGAGGGATGTTGCACATTTTCATTATCCCTCATGTACAGACTCAATCAAACCGAGTCTGCAATTCTCTTGTAATTTTGTTGTGATTAATGCTTCCGAGGGATCACTTTGTTTCCAGATTTTTATACTTCACAACAGCAGGTGTCAAGTGCTGTGTGGCAGCTGTAAAAAGTTGCCCCGTACTTCACTTCAGTGTTGTTATATTTTTCTGGTCCTTCGGGATCATTGATGCCAGCACTATTAAGTGTTGAGAATTGAGTACCGCTCAAGCCGGTGCTAGGGGGCGTGAGGGATGTTGCACATTTTCATTATCCCTCATGTACAGACTCAATCAAACCGAGTCTGCAGTTCTCCTGAATTTTGTTGTGATAAATGCTTCCGAGGGATCACTTTGTTTCCAGATTTTTTTTTAACATAATGCATTGAAAAAGGAAAAGGCTTATACAAATCCACTTATTTCATAACCATTCTATCTATTCATAATCACATTATATTTTATAATGTCCCAGAATATCTGGAAGATATGGATTTTTTTTCGTTTTAACGTATAGCGATCCCTTCTCTGGCGTAATGTCAATTATTCCCTATTCATGGAAAGTTGGTGTCCCGTCAATTTAGAACGAAATGATTTTTCTTTAAATTTCAAAACCCCCTTGTCTAAGAAAAGTGAAAATCGGCGTCCTTCGCATTACTTTTACCCAGGTAAAATGTGTTTTTAAATCGTATCAAATGTAAAAAGACTATACAATTAGAAGGATTAAATATTGTTAAAGTATTAATTTTAAGCACCTGGTATGACGTTGCAGTGTACGTTTTCACTTCACTTCCTGGTGAAAGATTAAGTTAAAGGAGATTAATTTATCAAATGTTGAAAATAACTTTATTGAATCAATTTGTAATCATTTTAGCAATTTTAAGCGGCAAATCAATATGTTATTGACAAGGGTTTTTCAAAAGAAGATTTAATTCGTTCTTCTGAGAACGAAAAAGGATGTATACTTTTTATGACTTAAGATAAAAACAGTGGAATTCCATAAATGTATGTTCAATTGACAGTTAACCGTTCCAAAAAAATATTATTTAGTATGAAATATATATATACTAGCAAATTGAGATTAAACGGAAGAGAACTCTTGCTCTGTTTATCTAGTGTTTATTTATTTGATAGAGTATTCTTACCAGTTTACCTTCATTAAATCAACCATTTTCTCAAAACCAGATAGAAAAATCCGTAAATGTTACTATAAATGGTGGTGTTGAAAAATCTTATCTTACATGGGCTTATCTCACACTTCACGTGCAGCACTTCTTTACGTATTCCTACACATACTCCTATTTTGACAAAAATGAAACGTTACGAGGAAAAAAAAACATGCA